TTTTAGAAGCAGAAATGTACTTTAGATTGTGATATTTAATATTAATGTGACACCTTGGGGACAATGGAAAAAGAAAAGGTTGTAGTTCTATAACGATGTGTGTGTCAAAGAGACAAGGAGACAATTGTTCTGATTGGCTGCCTTGATTTTTGTTTTGGTTTGGTTTTTGTCAACTTGACACAAACTAAAGTCGTTTTTTTTTTCCTTTTTTTAAGAGTCATTTTTTAAAAAAAACTTTTTATTGTTCTTTGTGAATTTCACATCACACACCCCAATCCCACTCATTTTACCCTTTCCTCGTACCTACCCCCACCCTTGCAACCTTCCCCCAAACAGAGAGAAAAAAAAATCCCATTGTGAAAGCTGTCATTTGTCAGTGTGTCCCACAGTGTCCCTTTTGTCTACACTGCTTTGCTTGCAAAAGTTATTGCAATGTATCATTGGTCTGATAAGAGGCCTCTGATTTCTGATACTCTGTCAATAGTGGAGCCTCACTGGGACTCAGACTTGTGGTAGGAATTATATATTCTATCTAATCTGTATAAAAGACACACAATCCAGGTATTTAATTTACAAGCCATAAGCCTAGATTGGGCAGGATTTGGAGATATTCTGACTTACATCCCAGCCATGTGTCCCTTGTTACTTGCTGTTTCCCCTGGCCACATGCTCATGGTCCGTCTCTTCTTATGGCAACCTCCTCCTCTCTCTGTCCCTCTTTCCTTCTCCCTCTCCTTTTCTTGGTCTTTCCTGAGACTCCTCATTCAATCCATTAAGTTCTGCCTTTCTCTCTCTACTGCCTAATCACAGGCTCTAGCCTTTTATTAACCAATTAATGAAGTTTGAATGCAGAGTTTGGACAACATAAAACTCCTGTGTGTGAGAATTCATTTGCGGAGGGAGGAGGCAATCAAATCTTGAGGGGCAGTATTTAGCATTTAAATACATAGCAACACCAGACCAACCACAACAGGGATATCCTGTTGTTGCCCTGTGTCATGAAGATCCTATAGTTTTGGATCTTGTAGGACCAGCCCCCTCATTCACTCCAGAAGTTCATTGATGGCGTAGATGTTGGGGTGGGCCAAGTCAAAGTCCTGGAACTAGAACTGAGAGGTATCTAAGTTGGTCAGCTGGATGGCTCTCCCACTCTCAAGCCCTCAGGGTGGCAACCCTCAACTCTCACCGTCCCCAGTCTCTGAAACCAGGGCCAGCTCAACTCTGCTGCCCAGGCAGGTAGGTGCAGGGTCCACTCTCCTGAGTACTGCAGTTGGCTTGGGATGGGGTCGGCGCTCCTGCTCTCATGTCCCTAGGGCCAGCTCTCCCAGGATGCCCGGGTGAGGGGTAGGAACAGTTCTGCACAGCCCTCCCATATAAACACCTGCCTGGCCTTTGGAGGTAATAGACCCCAGCTGCTACAGGGTCATGGACCCAAATGTGTCCCCCAGTGGCAGCACAGACCAGACCCCCACCATGGTCCCAGGCGGCATCGCAAATCAGGCTGTTCCTCACTACCCTTGAGTCTCCAGTTCTGCTTCTCTTCATTGTGCCCACATCCTTCTGTTTCTGTTTCTCTTTCTCTTCCATTTCTCCATCACTTACTTGTTCCTCTTGGTGGTGTCTGGGATCTCTGAGTGTTTACGGTCATCTCAGGAATGCTATGTCCATTTCATGCATTATGGATGGCTCCAGGTTGGTGTCATCTTGGGCATGGTCAGAACCACCAGGCCTGTGTGGCACCAGACTGGTGGTTAGCTCAGGCTAGCTCCCTGTTTGGCCCCACTGGCACCCATCTGATGGTCCTCTCAGGCCCTTTCCTCAACCAGCCTGCCTGAGCGGCTCCTCTCAAAGATCTATCTAGGGTTCGTTTGGTCCCAGGCAGGGTTCTTCTAGTCTCAGGCATACACCCAGTCCTGGGAGCCCACCCAGCCTTGCCCAGCTGATGGTCATGTCAGGCTTGATTTTTTCCGGGAATGTTAGGCTACTAATTATTCATATGTTCCTAGGTCAGAACACTGATAGGCAGAGCGTTTCTCCTCTCCGCTACCTACTGACACACAGCAGCCACTTTAGAGTCATGCTTTAAAGAGACACTGCCAATTTAGAAAATGCCTCCATAAGATTGGCTGAAACGCCCTGGGCTGTGGTGGCACCCACCTTTAATCCCAGCACTTGAGTGGCAGAGGCAAGTGGATCTCAGTGAGTTCAAGGCCAGCCTGGTTTATGAGTTCCAGGACAGCAAGGGCTACACAAAGATAAACACTGTTTGGGGAGGGGAAAAAAAAGATTGGCTTATAGGCAAGTCTGTCAGACAATTTCAGAATTAATAATTGATGTGGGAGGATTCATCCCTCAGTGGATGGTGCTAACTCTGGGTAGGTGATCCAGGGTTGTATAACAAAGCAGGGTGAGTAAGGCTTGAGGAGAAAGCCAGGAAGCAGCACCACTCCATGACCTCTTCTCCAATTCCTATCTTCAGGTTCTTGCCCCATTCCCTGCACTGACGTATGATCTGAATATTGTAAACTGGAATGCCTACTCCCACCATCACAACCACCAGCTTCATTTCAGGAGACCGTTCTCTCCACCAAGGGATTCAAACACCATTGAGGAGTAAAATTCAGACCCGTGAGCACTCTCTAAGTTGCCAGTGTAGCTCAGTGTCTGATCATTAAAACCTCATCCTTCTCCACGT